ACATCTTTGGGATAACCAGTACCTGGATGATTGAGCATCTCCATAAAACAAGAACTTTTAGAGCATTTGGAAATATTTATCTCCTTTCCTTTTGGTTCCTCAACTTTATCCAATTTCTGGTCCCACCTGTGACAACATCCAAAGAAAGATCTCCTCACTTAACTGTCTGTGAATGAGGTTACAAAGCTGTATAGGGTTTAGCCAACTTATTGCTGTGATGAAATCCTATTTGTTTAAATAAGAAACAAAACCTTTTTATCTGGAATATGGAGTGATGACAGAAGGCTGGTTAAATTCTGGATGAGGGGATTGGATGAAACTTGCATTGTGTTACTTAGCAGGACATCAGGGTTATGGTACTGATTAAAATTGCAAGTAGGGAAAAGACCTATGGTTAACCATCAGTATCTTATTTTTATGTATAGTACTTATGACTTTCAAGAAATATGCCATAGACTAGCACATGGTAAAGCAGCAATGAAACCCTCAGGAAAAAAAAATCATTCAGATGCTGTGTTGTGTCTCTACTTTCAAAGATCAAAATCTTGTAGGCAATGACTTTCCCTATGGAAACAAAAGTTGGACTTTGAAGAAATAATACAGAAAGAATATTGATGCGTTTAAAGTTTAGTGATGAAGGAGATTGCTGGGAATACCATGGGAAGCCAGGAAAACAAACAAATCATAAAACAAATCAACCCAGGGGTCTCACTTGAAGTACTAATGACCAGGCTGAAATGTTTATAGTTTGGGTGAATTATGCCAGACTTCCCAGTTCACCTGGATCTCTGTTAGTCAATAACTCCTGCTTCTTCCTAATGTCTCTTTTGCTGAGACTAAACATAGGATTCCTTCCTTCCTTCTCAGAAACTTGAAAGTCCACTGAGTACTATGCTAATTATTATACTCTCATTACCTTTATTTCCTAAGACTGTCCCTATGCAGCAAAGCCAATCAGTGGCAGGGAACCAGCAACAAATATTTCAGCTCTAAATCTTTCCCGCTACCTGGGCATTAGTTGAATTAAATGAAGATTTGTCAATTACTGATAAGATACAAGGTAAAGCATTTGTAGGTATGATACCTCAGGCATCGTATTTTCTATTAGAATGTCTGCATAGAGAATGTGAAATAGAGAAAGTGACATAAACATTTTATTATGGAATATATTTCACCCTCAAACAAAGGCTAAACTTAATTAGATTTAAAGTGGAATTAATTTAAAATAATTTATTCGAATACATTGATTTTATGTGATGTTTTAATAAGCAAACAGATGTGAATTTTGAACATGTATAAAATACGCTTCTGAATAACAAGTAACAATTCATACACAATTAGGGCCAAATAGGAATGTAACTTGACATGAGTTCATCTTTGGTGTAGATTGTAATCTGAGTTGTTTGAAATAGCTTTCAGAAAGGTCTGTGTTTTTCTTTTGGGGGGGTGCCTTTGAGTCAGACTTTGACGGGGGGACAGAGGTCGATCTCGAGGCTCCTCACTTGTGGGGTGCCGCAAGGGTCAGTCCTCTCACCCCTCCTGTTCAACATTTATGTGAAGCCGCTGGGCGAGATCATCCGCGGCTTTGGGGTGAAGTGTCAACTGTATGCCGATGATATGCATTTCAACCCCAGGCCACCCCAATGATGCCCTTGACGTGATGTCCCGTTGCCTGGAGGCCGTGCGGATCTGGATGGGGAGGCTCAGACTCAACCCCTCCAAGACTGAGTGGCTGTGGTTTCCGACGTCCCGATATAGCCAGCTAAAACCATCACTGGCTATTGGGGATGAGATCTTACCCCCCTCAGAGAGGGCTTGCAACTTGGGCATCCTCCTGGACTCACGGCTGTCATTGGATGATTATATGACAGCTGTAGCCAGGGGGGCTTTTTATCAGGTTCGCCTGATCTCCCAGTTGCATCCCTTTCTGGATCAGGACGCCTTGCGCACAGTCACCCACGCCCTCGTCACTTCCCGTCTGGACTATTGCCATGCTCTCTACATGGGGCTCCCCTTAAGAAGCACCTGGAGGCTCCAACTGGTCCAGAATGTGGCTGCGTGAGTGATAATGGGGGCGACCTGCCGCTCCCATGTAACACCTCTCTTGCGCGAGCTGCACTGGCTCCCAGTGGTCTTCCGGGTGCGTTTCAAGGTGTTGGTTACCACCTTTAAAGCGGTCCATGGCTTAGGGCCTGGATATTTACAGGGCTGCCTGCTGCCACTGACTGCCTCCACCGACTGATACGCTCCCACAGAGAGGGCCTCCTCAGGGTGCCGTCGGCCAAACAATGTCGACTGGCGACTCCCAGGGATGAATGAATTGCCCCCGGATATACAAAGGATCCCCGACTTTCGTGCCTTCTGTCGTGCGCTAAAGACCCTGTTATTCCAGCATGCCGATCTGATGGGACAATAATTTTTATTGGGTTTTAAATATGGGTTTTAAATATGGTTTTATAAGGGTTTTAGAATGGAAATTTTAAATTCGGCCAAAATTGAATTATTTTAATATGGTTTTTAAATTTGTCTTATATAGTGTTTTATTATGGCTGTTCACCGCCCTGAGTCCTTCGGGAGAAGGGCGGTATAAAAATATAATAATAAATCTAAACTTTGAAACTTCCTGAATTAGTCCCTGCAGTTTTGTTGGCAAGTGTAGGAGATGAGCCCGAAGTAGGGTTCAAGCACGTCCTCGATCATGAGTCCCTTCGCACCCACAAGAGATCTAAATCCAGCCCACCTTGAATTCTTTATCTGCTGCCAAATTGCTTTGACTGTTAGTAGTTTAGATTCTTATAGAGAGCTTAAACTTGCAAAAAAAAAAATTATTTATTTATTTATTTATTTATTGGTTCGATTTATATTCCGCCCTTTTCCGGAGACTCAGGGCGGCTTACAATCTGTTAAGCAATAACCTTCATACTTTTGTATATACCTGCTTAGTAGGGCTTTCGGGGGCCCCCTAAGCGGTGTTCTTTTTTTATACAAAGTCAGTTTATTGCCCCACAATCCAGGTCCTCATTTTACCTACCTCGAAAGGATGGAAGGCTGAGTCAACCTTGAGGCTGGTGAGATTTGAACTTGCAGTAATTGCAGGCAGCTGGTGTTACTTAACAGTGCTTTAGTCTGCTGCGGCACCAAGGCTCTCTATACCCATTTGAACTGCCTGGATCTCCTGATTTCTCTGGTGCTTGACCGCAAGGTTGTTCAGAAGTAGTTTGCCATTGCCTCCTTCCTAGGGCTGAGAGAGAGGAACTGGCCCAAGGTTACCCAGCTGACTTTTGCCTAAGGCAGGAATAGAACTCAGAGTTTCCCAGTTTCTAGCCTGATGCTTTCATCACTACAACAAACTGGTTCTCTTTCAGAAAGTTACTTAACCCTACTAAGATTGCTTTGAACTTTCTATAAAGGAAATATATTCCTTTTCATCATATAATAGTAACAAACTTTCAACTTGCAGCATGATAAAAATAAACTGCACACATAAATTAGAACAACAAAAAGAGGGTGAAAACAACTGAAGAATGTTAACACAATACCAGGATAAATATTGGCTAAATGTTTATTGAGACTATGTACTGAATTTAAGTCCAGGTGACATGGTTCTCTACTTCAGGTCAACCAAAATCCTGGTTATTCAGTGAGGGCTAGTTTTTTCTGTTATCACAACTGTGCAATCTCTCCTAATATTGTCATTTTCATAACAGTAAGAGAAAATGCAGTTCCTTTTTATTCCAGCATTCTTGGGTTTCCCAAACAATTTGTCCAATTAAAATGAGAAACAAGTCTGTTCAAAGTTTAGAGGTTAGAGTAGATTCAGAAAAATGATAAAGGGAAAAGAAATGGAGTCATTCTTTGCAACTTGAGTAATCAGACTTCACTATCTTTTGTTTTATCTAATTGAGATGTAATTGTAAATGCTGAGCTATGCTCTGGGTTGCCTTAACAAGGATGGCAGCAACTCACTTTGCCTTCCATAGACAAACGTGTGTCATACACACTAATGATCTTTGATGAATCTTCAAGGGAAAGTATTGTGACTTAGCTTCACTTTGCCATGTTAACAAATGATGACATTTATCACTTTCTGATCTAGCATTTGTGGAAGGAAGGAAGGAAGGAAGGAAGGAAGGAAGGAAGGAAAGAAGGAAGGAAGGAAGGAAGGAAGGAAGGAAGGAAGGAAGGAAGGAAGGAAGGAAGATAGATAGATAGGACCATCCTAAAGGCATTTTCCCAATTTCTTTTTCAAATTTGAAATGGCTTCATTGCAGCTCCAGGGATGCAGGTAATAGCAGCTAACCATCTTCAGGCAGGTTATTTCTTTCTTTTTTCTTTTTTGAAATTTTGCTTGGAGCACTCTGTACATGTTGCTACTAGCCTGACACAAACCACATTTTAGAAATTTATTAGGAATCTAATCGCTCAGGGAGAAGGTGAGCTGCTGTGACAGGCTGGAAATGCTACTGCTCTTCAAAGTGTTAAAGACCCTGCAGCCTTCAGCACAAAAGCTTTTGGGGAGGGGAGCGGGGGGAAAGGGAAAGAAAGAGAGATAGTAGCAGTTCATATAGCATACTGGTTTCTCAGGAGGGTTTTCCTACATAAAATTCTTTCTGGATTCCCAAATAAAGATCGTGCATCAGCTGTCACAATAGTTGTGCAATTTTGAGTTACACATCTAGTTATTGGAGAAAATGCAAGTAGGACTGAAAAATCCATATCTAGGAAAAACCACAGATGCTTATAGAACTACTCTTGAGGCCATCAGGTAATATTTATCAAAACTTGGGGAGGCACCATTGATCTGTGTTTGCAAACTCTGAATACATCAATTAGGCAAGGAATTGGTGGAGCATTTTCTTCCCTTGGAGCATCTCCCCATTGGCATAACCTCCACCACCAAATTATCCAAACTATACATTTCTCTTTCCCTCCATCTCCTTCCCACTACCCTTTCCCAAAAGTGATCTCAAATGGCATTAGAGAGAAACAATCAGCATTACCTTGATGGAAGTGTAGAATTGTTTCAATTCTTTTTCTTCAACCAGAAGGACTGGTTACTTTTCCTGAGTTTTTCTGCACCACAATCTTCAGGCAGACTTAGTCTAAAGAGTCAGGTACAAGCAAGAAACAAAGTCCAATTTTGCACCTTTTACATCAAATGTTCCCAGCAAAGTCCCAGCAGCAAGAAAGCCACATTATATTCTCTCTCTGATGACGAACACAGACTCCTTACAGTGATGTTGTTGCTGACTTCGGCACTGCTCTTTGGAGTTTCTTCTCCCTCCCACTTTTTTCCCCCTAGTGGGAATTTTTTAAAAAAAAATATATACGTGTGTTTGTGTGTGTATTATGAGATCATACTGTTTTGTCAGGGGGATTGCATTGTGAGTAATGTCACAACAGACTTGATATCGGTTTGGGATCGGTTTGGATTTTTATTTTTTTTAAAAAAAGGAAAAGGACAGTTATTTTAATACTACCGAAACTTTCATTTAGGAATGTCATTGAGAGAAATGAACTAAATTGCCTCTGACACTTGTGCTTTCATCCTTCACAGACTGCTACTTTGGTGTTTTTACTCTGAGAAGCTACAGGAACTTTGTCTTTTCTTTGTTATTCAATGTGCCAAATTGGTCTGAAGACTTTTATATTAATTTTATTCTATCAGACAAGAAAACTTTTGTTACTCACATTATTGCAACATGTTGCACACCAGCGGTCAACAACTGGAAATAACTGCCCTTATATTTATTTATTTATTTATTTATTTATTTATTTATTTATTTATTTATCAATCTTCAGGCAGACTTAGTCTAAAGAGTCAGGTACAAGCAAGAAACAAAGTCCAATTTTGCACCTTTTACATCAAATGTTCCCAGCAAAGTCCCAGCAGCAAGAAAGCCACATTATATTCTCTCTCTGATGACGAACACAGACTCCTTACAGTGATGTTGTTGCTGACTTCGGCACTGCTCTTTGGAGTTTCTTCTCCCTCCCACTTTTTTCCCCCTAGTGGGAATTTTTTTTTAAAAAAATATATACGTGTGTTTGTGTGTGTATTATGAGATCATACTGTTTTGTCAGGGGGATTGCATTGTGAGTAATGTCACAACAGACTTGATATCGGTTTGGGATCGGTTTGGATTTTTATTTTTTTTAAAAAAAGGAAAAGGACAGTTATTTTAATACTACCGAAACTTTCATTTAGGAATGTCATTGAGAGAAATGAACTAAATTGCCTCTGACACTTGTGCTTTCATCCTTCACAGACTGCTACTTTGGTGTTTTTACTCTGAGAAGCTACAGGAACTTTGTCTTTTCTTTGTTATTCAATGTGCCAAATTGGTCTGAAGACTTTTATATTAATTTTATTCTATCAGACAAGAAAACTTTTGTTACTCACATTATTGCAACATGTTGCACACCAGCGGTCAACAACTGGAAATAACTGCCCTTATATTTATATTTATTTATTTATTTATTTATTTATTTATTTATTTATTTATTTATTTAATTTGTATACCGCCCTTCTCCCAAAAGGGACTCAGGGTGGTGGACAGCCAAAATTAAAATACATACAATACAAAAGTTAAGATAGCTAAAATAAATTAAATCAATCGGCCTCCCAATTTAAAACCCCAAATCTATAAAATTTTAAAACTCCCATTAAAAAACCATTTAGGCTAGGCTGGCTTGCTGGAATAAATAAGTCTTCAGGGCCTTATGGAAAGTACGGAGGTCTGGGATCAGTCGTGTTCCAGGAGGTGGCTCATTCCACAGGGCGGGTGCCCCCACAGAGAAGGCTCTCCCCCTGGGGACCGCCAGCCAACATTGCTTTTATTTATTTATTTATTTATATTGAGTGAAATGCTCACAAAAGCCTCTTTAGACAATGATTAATTTTTTGGTATATACATTTATTTATTTTTATGCACTTATTTTAAAACACAAAGTGTGTAGCTGCTTATATTGTATACTGGGCAACACACAAAACAGTTAAAACACCACCACAACAAAAATGCATGGTCATATCATTTTATTGGGAGGAACTGTTTAATTGTTTCTGACCTTCAGTCAAAAGAAACTGAGTTTATTGACTTGTGTATTGCTTGGAATTTAATAATTATAAAATAAAAGACAAAGCAAAGAGAGAAGATGCAAAGAACATTTGCTTCTCAAAGACTTCTCAAATGTATGTGTGTACCGTATGTATACTGCCACTTCTTCTGACTCTTGGAAGTTAAAATATTATATATTTCATTCTACATTATAAAACAAAACAATGTTCACTGTAAAATAAAGTTAAAATTAAGTTAATTTTAAATCATGTAACAGAACTCTGTTGAGATAATAATACATCCCAAAACTCTCAGAGTAACCTGGTATGTCCATATTGTTAAAGATGGAGACAGTATTGCATTTGAGTGAAGATGTTTCCAGAGGTTGAGAGCTATCATGAGAAACATTGCCTCCAAGCCTTAATTCCTCCCCTTATTTCCAAGAAGTGGGACCTTACTAAAAGTTCTCCCCAGGAGAGACGCTCTGGATGGGTCAAATTTGAGGAGATGGTCCCTGATGCCAAGCCATATAGGGTTTTATCAATGAAACCAGCACTTTGGACTGCCTCCAGAAACCTACTGACAATCAGGTTTCTGAGCAATCTTCCAAGGCAGTCACACAGAACACATTCCAGTAATCCAGATGTGTGGTGATCAAGACATGAGTCACCATAGCAAGGTCATAAACTGGCTTTTTTAGTTCTTGGAATATACAAGAATCAGCCAACTCAATTCAATATTCTGAAGTTGGAAATATTATTAGAATTACCTTGCTATAACTTTTTAATAGTCTTTGTCATATATTTGATACTTCCATGGACCTTTTTTTAAATAACAGTGCAAACCAATCAAACCAATATATAAAAATAGAGCAGGAGGTATATTAAATCTGTGGATTTCTAGATGTTTCTCAATTTCAGTTTTCAGCATCCCTGACTACTGGCATTATTGCTTAAAGCTATATTCAACAACATCTAGATGGCTGTATAAAGTCTCACATCTTTGGGAATCCATATCAAGGGTCAAACACAAAATGTATTCATTATTGTCAAGTTTTTATTTGTTAGAAGATCACGTTTCCAAAAAATTCCCCCAGATAGAATCAAGTTAATTATGATCATTATTTATGCAAGCACCTGTACCAAAAGAGATCATAGATTCATTGTTACCTTGGAGCAATTATTAACAAGTTTTCCGGTACCCTTATATCATGTTCCTTTCAAGTTACCTGTATCTAAGGAAATGGCAATGAATCCATTCAGGGTGTGGGGGAGGGAAAAGCAATTGTTTTTCATCTGAGCTAGGAAACAAAATAAGAACTGCCTAGAGCTACTATCTGAAGCCAAATAATATCCATTTCAGATATTATTGCACACAAGGAAGGAGACAAAATATGTTGAAATGGATATAAATCAGGGAAAGTTTCTATAAGGGAATATTTATGTGACTTGTATGGTTTTTGTTGTGTGTAAATACTGACTGGATATCAAATGTGGTTTCTGAGTCACGGAGAGCTATGCCATCAATCAAAATGGGTTAACTTGATGCTCTTTATTATATTGTTATGGGGTAATTTTAAGGAAGGCAGGGGGCATTTCTTTGTTCTCTCTTTTCAGAGTTCTTCGTTACTCTGGTTTTTAAATTGTAACCATAGCAAATGTGTTTAAAATTTAATCTTTAATATTAGTTTACTGCTGCCATTTCAGATTTTGAGAATGAAAGGAAATCTCTGTGGGGACAGGATTCCTAGTAATGTTTCCATTCCTTTCTTTGTCCAACTTGAAATACATGGCATTTGTAATTGAATGTGAGTATACATTCTGCCGTAGTGCAGACAGTTGGGATACCACACTTTAAACTTCCCCAGTTTTACCATTAACAGCAGTCTAACAGCAGCATAAACCAAGATTATATTATAATGATATGTGTGCTTTGATGGCATCATGCAAAAAACATGTTTAGATATTTGCATCAGACATTGGGATGCAAGTTTGTCACGGAGTTTGCATTTTGACTGCATGATGTATGTTTTATGATTCCCTTCCTCCCCTTCCCCCTTCTCTAGGGAATATTGCCGTTTCTTTTCTAGTGGAAAATCTTTCTTGGCACACCGAGAAATGCCAAATTTCTTAGTCTGAATGCCAAATGATAGAAACAATCATTTTATTAGTCCAAAGCTAGGAGTTATACCAAGTCACTGGTCTCTTGCTCAAGTTCCATGAACAAAAAAAGGAATGGAAAAGAATAAAACTTTGATTTTGGGTTTTACCAATTAGATTGATAGATCATTATAGAAATGGCTTGTTCATTTATTATGGAAAAACAAAAAGTTGTGATTTGATGTTAATGCCTTATTTTACTGCAACAGAGACAGTTGGCAGTCAATGTTTCTTTTTCTTTTTTTTCTTATCCTTCCTCACTTCTCTTCCTCCCCACCATTGTCCTATTTACTTTTGTATTTTGTATCTTATTTTATCTTATAATTCAATAAAATGTTTTTTTTTAAAAAAAGGATCCATGAAGAAGAGCTGCATTATCTTATATAGAAGATTAACCAAGGGCACTCAATACAAGTAGTCCTCACTTAATGATCACTTGTTAGTGACTGAACAGTGCTGAATGAGGAGGAATTATGACAGGTCCTTATAGTTGCGACGATTACAGGGTCCCCATGGTCATATGATCATGGTTCAGGCAGTTGGTAACCAGCTTGCGATTGCAGCATGGCAATGTCCTACAGTCACCACCAGTTGTGACCTGCCCTGCTGCTTCCAATGGGCAAAATCTATAGGGAAGTCAGCAGGAGGTCACAAATGTTGACCACATGCTGTCTTAATGCATGGGCCTGATGGGCACTTGCCCGTGGGCCCCACAAGCATAGGGGCCCCATATGAATCTGTGTATGTTAACCTTTCAATGCACCTTGCATCATATAAATACAGCAACATATTTATTACATTTTACTGCATTTTTTTTATTAATAGTAACATGCAAATATATGTTTTATTTTATCGACCATTTACATTTTTATTCCTGTGAGTAGTTGTCATAGGAGCCCCAGTACACTGCTTTGCCCGGGGCTCATTATGCTGTTAAGATGGCTCTGCATGCCATTGTGCTTACGTGACCATTCTGGAGTCACTTAATAACAGCAATCAGAACTGGAACTGCTATAAGACAGCGCAATCAC